TCATTTCTGTTCTATTTAATATTTTTGAAAGCCACTAAATCATTTTCTTGATGTGCAGTTTAAAAAACGTTGAGACTCCCTGTCCTTGGTGGCGGGTGGGGGGGGTGACACCGTCCTGGAGGGGTCATTTTTGTATGTAGCATTTTATCCACAAAGGATGAGACTAGGGTTTCCTCGTTAAGTTCCTTTCCCAGAAATGTAATTTAAGATGTCAAAGGCATCTGAGGACTTCCAAACAAATGAATGAATGTCACTGCCAAAGAATTTTCTCCAGTGGTCGTACCAGTTTAGACACCCACTCAGACAGTATGTCTGAGAATTCTGGTTGTTCTGTATCCTTCTGAACACTTAGCGTTGCCAGTATTTTTCATTTTAGCTGACATAGTGGGTTTGTAGTGGTTGTTGTGGCCATTTTATCTTTTATTTAATTTTTAATTTTTTAAAAGATTATTTACTTGAGAGAGGGTGCAGAAGAGAGTGAGTGAGCAGGAGTGGAGAGGGGAGAGGGAGAAGGAGAAGCAGACTCCCCGCTGAGCAGGGAGCCCCTGCAGGACTCGATCCCAGGACCCTGACACCATGACCTGAGCCAAAGGCAGATGATTAACCGACTGAGCCACCCAGGCACCCCCTGTCCTGGCTATTTTAAATGAAGTCCTTCTAAAATGTGTTGGGCCTTCGAATTTCTTTAAGCAGAATGTAAACGAAATGGTCGATCTGTCGCAGATCACTGGGTTTGGGTATTTCGAATGGTCATTCCTTTTGCTGTTGATGGTATGTCTACTCGTTATAATGAGCGGTCCTTTGTCAATGCTGTCATCGCGGCTCACTCTGCAGGCTTCTCTACCCTGTCACCAACAGAGGATACACTAGACTGGAAACCGTATGTTTGAGTTTTTACATCCCAGGTCCTTCCAAGGGCAGTACCAGGGCCGCAGGAGCCGGATGTGTAATATCTGTCGGCAGACTGCAGACACAGAAGAGTCTCGCACCCTTTGCCGGCACAGGGCCCTGTTCCAGAGCCCCTTCCTGCTCTCTGCCTTGCTTGCTGCGGACTAGGATTCCTTTACTGTCGCCGGGGTCAGCCTTCCGGTGTTTGGCTGCTGGCTCGGGCTCTCAGCCCTGCTCTGCCGGGCCAGGGTGGGGTTGAGGGAAAAGGGAAGGGTGTGGCGGACTAGGTGAGGGGCCCGCAAAGGGAAAAGCCAGCAGGCCCAGCGGCCGCAGGAGAAAAAGGGGAATCTGCCTATCTTGTTGACGTCAGGAGGCCAGTCCTCCTGAAGCTCCAAAGACCATTCACTCGAGATTCCCTGAAAACATTGGACAAAAGACTGGGTGTCTTCCCAGTCTCCATTCAGGGTGAACTCCAGGGTGATGTCAGGTAATGCGTACGGTCGTCTCAGTTCCACGTTCTCCTTGTCACGTCTCCAGGCTTCCATGAGAAAATGGTCCAGGTGGAGGGTGCCCGGAGAAGGCATCTGATTGAGCCTCCCCGCCCACCCAGGAGCACCGTGATTTTACATTTCTGAATCTGCCTTCTCTACATATATTTGCAGTCGATCCGTGCCTGCTATTGGTGATTCGTGATGTTTACGAATACTTTTTTAGATGTCTGCCAGGACGTTATGATAGAAACCCAGAGTACCCTGATTCCTTCCCTTCACGGCTCTGTGTGAACCCCTGCCCCCACAGAATAGTTAAATTAAATATGATGTAAAAATGATCTCCTATTGATTATTACTCTCTTGAGAGACCATCCAGGGTTGGTAGACTGTAATCATGAAAGTCATCTGTTTTTCATCTGTATGCGGTTCTTTCCTATCCTCTGGCTGTTTCTTTGGCGGTCTTTCATTTCGGTTTGAGTCAGGGTTGAGAACTGAATAAATTAAGGCCCAGAACTTTTATAATTTAAGGATTAAGGGAGTCTCACGAGGCTAATGTTCCAACATTAGTCAATAAATAGGATAGTGGAGGTGAGAGTGATTTCCACAGCTTCGCACAGAGAACGTTCCCTTGCGTAATGGCCTAAAAGAGTGGCCTGATGTTCAATGTGTAGTATAAGTCAGAATGTAAATAAATCTCCCACTTCCTTTTAGCTGTGAACATTTTAAGTTGGACAGTCACAAAAGATACAGTTACAAAAATCGGCTTAGCACACTCCCAAATATTTATTTATTTTAAAGGATTATTTATTTATTTGAGAGAGGGAGGGAGGGAGACAGAGAGAAAGAGGAGGAGCAGGGGGAGGGACAGAAGCAGACTCCCCACTGAGCAGGGAGCCCAGTGCCAGGGCTCAATCCCGGGACCCTGGGATCATGACCTGAGCTGAAGGCAGACATTAACAGACTGAGCCACCCAGGCAACCCAAGTGTGTTTTTTCATGTTCTTTAAGTTGTATTGAATTTTATCTAAGTTCATTAAGTTCCTATAGGATCTGGTTTCCACAGTTAGCCATATATAGCCCATCTCATTGCTGCCATTCCCTCAAAGCAACAAGAAAGTTCTGTCATCATTGATTTTGGTCTCCAGGATCTGCTTCCTCGTGTAACTTCTCTTTGGGAAGTTTGAAGTAATCCAGATAAGGGATCTCCCCTCTCGGAGAGACAGTCAGGTCAGCAGCTGTCTCTCCTGGCAGCTCTTCCTTCCTTTTGGTGTTTCCTTTCTCAGGGCTGTGGCGCGTGTAAAAAACATACTCCAGAAGAAAAGAGGTTTCACGTTTGCTTCTGCCTATTAACCTTCCTCCTAGAAGAGCAGGGAAGGAGTGGCACTAGAACTCAGATCGCAAAAATCATTTTTTTTTGCAAACACGCTAAGTCAGTCACAAGGGATCTGAGCAGGGGATTGACTGTATAGGGCATTTAGGAGGAAGAAATGATTGCCAACCCCACATCCCCCAAACCCCACCGCCTGCCATGAAAGTATCTGTTTTTATTGATTATAAAAGTAATACATGCTGAACCTAATGAACAGAAACAGTATTTGTAAAGTAGAAGGTTCCCCATAGTCGGTGCTGTTCTTCGAGGGGTATATGTGCGTGTGTATTGTCAACAGGAATGGAATGGTACTTGGCATACTGTCCTGTAGCTGCTTTTTTCCCACTGAATACCTTGCAGGATCTGCTCTACGTCAGGGCATTCTTAGGATGAGTCAGAGTTGATTTGCATAATCCCGCTCAGTGGACAGTATGGTCGTTTCCTGTTTTCTAATATTCTTTTTTTTTTCTTTTAAGATTTTATTTATTTATGTATTGGACAGACAGAGATCACAAGTAGGCAGAGAGGCAGGCAGAGAGAGATGAGAAGCAGGCTCCCCGCTGAGCAGAGAGCCCGAGGCGGGACTCGATCCTAGGACCCTGGGATCATGACCTGAGCCGAAGGCAGAGGCTTTAACCCGCTGAGCCACCCAGGCGCCCTTTCTGATATTCTAAACATACTTGGTTCCATATGTAGCCACCAGCCACGTGTGGCAGTTTAACTTAATTAAAGTCAAATAATGTTTTAAAAATCAGTTCGCAGTCAGACTTGCCACATTTCCAGTGCCCGGTAGCTGTACGTGGCTAGCACCGAGGAAGAACTTCCCCAGAGTGGGGTGAAGTTATATTGGACAGTGCTGTTCTAAACTGCTGGTTTTCAGATTTTTTTTTCAAGTACATGTTTCCGTTCCTTTATTCATCCATTCAACAAATGATTCTTGAGTGCCTCCTATGTGCCAGGCACCGTGCTTGGTACGTGGATGTCTCACTCACAGAACATCAATACCTGTCCTCATAATGCTTAACTTTCTACCAGCGAAAGGTTTTGAGTGTTCACTCCCAATAGTTACATATGTATCCTTTTATGTTGTTCTAAAGATTTTATTTATTTATTTGACAGAGAGAGAGAGACGGTGAGAGAGGGAACACAAACAGGGGGAGTGGGAGAGGGAGAAGCAGGCTTCCTGCTGAGCAGAGAGCCTGATGCGGGGCTCGATCCCAGGACCTTGGGAGCATGACCTGAGCTGAGATGCTTAAGGACTGAGCCCCCCAGACGCCCTCTCTCTCTCTTTTTTTCCTTTATGTAGAATTTTTCCTACAGTTTGAATTTGTTCTTTTATTTACATACTCATTTACTAAGCATTTATGAAGTTCTTACTGTATGCTAGTGGATGCCAGGAAATTGAACAGGTCAGGGTTCCTGCTCTCAACTGAGTCAGGCCAGCAAAGCATTTATTCTTTTTTTTTTTTTTTTTTAAGATTTTATTTATTTGACAGACAGAGATCACAAGTAGGCAGAGAGGCAATCAGAGAGGGAGGGGGGAAGCAGGCTCCCTGCTGAGCAGAGAGCCCGATGCGGGACTCGATCCCAGGACCCTGAGATCATGACCTGAGCCAAAGGCAGAGGCTTAACCACTGAGCCACCCAGGTGCCCCCTGCAAAGCATTTATTCTAATGCAAGGTGTTAATGGAAACGCAAGAAAGGGGCATATAATGAGAGAGCTTGTTCACGAGAATGGAGGACAGCTTTCACGACCACCTCCTTGCTGAGTTACTGCACTCTGTTTTGGGACTTAATGGAATCGCATATTTCTCCAACAGATGACTGTGTTTCTCCATGGTATTTTCTTTTGAAAAATATAAAATTCTAAATCATCAGTTTAAGGATATTAAACCACTGTTGACTGTCACATTAAATACCTCTTTATGTTAATCGCTTACCTTTCGATTTTTAAGCTTAGATCTTAGGGTTGGAAGGGTTCTGTATAGGACAGAAATGAAATCCAAATAATTTTGTAGCTCCTGTTTGAGAAGGGGAAACAAATTTATCCCCAGAGATGTGTATTGATTCATGCCTTCCTTTAATACATATTTACAAAATATCTTCTATGCAGAAAAAAGCATTTAATTCCAAAATAAATTTCTCACATGGGCTTTTAATTAGGGAATTCTGAAGACTATAATGGATAGTATTATTTAGAGTAAACTTAAAATGAAAGAATTGATCATGTGTTGTTTATTCCCTCTCTTTTAGGGCAAGTTAAAGTGTTCAGAGCTCTTTATACGTTTGAACCCAGAACTGTAAGTATTCAATCTTTAACCTCAAAATTGTCATAAAAACTTAAGGTGATTTCGTTTAGATACTTCCTCTGGCCTAAATGGCCTGTCTTTTCTCTGATAGACGTAAATGATTCACAGGAATGGATGGTCAGTCACTTCCCAGGCGGTCCAGAGGTGTGAGAGCTAAATCCCTTGGGTTGACCTGAAAGTGTTCCCCACCTTGAGGTCATGTAGTCGATCCTATTTTGCCTTTTCCCCTAGGGTCACATCACTCACTTTAAAAATCACCAAGTGACCCACATGTAAAGCACATGACCTTGTCTTAGTCATCCTTCCCGTGAATCTCAACGCTGACCTGTCTCTTCTTCCTGTTGACCCTCTACCTTAGCCCACCTCATAATGGCACCTTTAACCAACTATCTAAAACAATTTTTTCTGTTTTTGCTCTTTCTGGTGTTCATCCATCCATCCACCCATCCATCCTTGGTTTAGTGAGCACTTACTATGTGCCAGACCCTGGCCCAGGCCTTGGGGACAGTGCCACGTCAATAGAAAGGGTGGCCCCATGGAGCTCCCCTCCCAGTGGGGGGAGACAGACAGTAAGAAGACAAATGAACATGGCTGTCAAGGCCTGATCAGTGCGATGAAGAAAAATACAGAGGGTACGGGGCCAAAAGGTTCATGGAGAAAAGAGTTCTTTTCAGCAGGGTGTTCGGGGATGAGCTTTCTATAAAGGTGACGTTCGCGTGGAGACCTGAGGGAAGTGAGAGAGCCATGGGAACAGCAAGGAGCATCTTTGGAGGGTTCTAGAAACAACAGGGAGGACAGCAGCTTAGAAAGTTGTGCATAAAGAAGAGGGAGGTAGGAGATGGGTTCAGAGAGCCTGGGAGGAGAGAGACGGCAGATCACGTAGGGGCTTTGTTGGGGAGGAATGGACGGTTTTGAGTCCAGGGTTGATCAGACAAGTTTTAGAAGAGCCACTCTCCTGCGGTGTGGGAAACCATCCAGCAGAGTGAGAGTGGGAGCAGAATGTCCAGATAGTTAGGAGGCAGAGGAGAGAGACTGAGCAAGGAAACCCACCCTCTCTACTTCCCCGTCCTACTCACTAGAGATGGGAGCCTTCGTGCTGGGGGCAGCTAGCTTGCCGCTGGCTTTGTCTGGTTTTCCCCTGGACCCTGACCTCCCCAGAGCTGAGCATCTCAGAAGGTAACACAGAACCAGACGGTGCCAAGCGTTGGCTCATTGCCATCAGGAGGTGGCCGGCCCTCAAATTCCAGATCTCTGTGACCATCTGTGTCTTCATCAGCCATGCTGCAGAATTTGGCTGTGAGTGGGGAATGAGATCGATATTTGAAGCAGGGAGTACACTAATATGGGATGTGCTCATGCTCCAATGAATCCTCCTAAGACTTAATAAATAAAGTGTTCCTGGACCAAGAAAGGGGTGGGGTGGTAGAGGTAGACCTCAGGTTTTCATTCTTATTACTGGGATGTTCCAGTGGCATCTGGCCTGTGTCGGAGGAGGCGGTCATGAACGGGCTGCATGTCAGCTGGCCACGGCTACAGAGCAAAGTCCTGCAGGCTCTGTAGCTTAACTGACAAAAATTTTTCTTAGAGGTTTGGAAGCAAAGAGTCACATGGAGGTGTGGACAGGGTTGTTTTCTTCCAGAGCCTCTCTCTGTGGCTTGTAGATGACTGTGTTCTCCTGGTGTCCCCAAGTGGGTCGTTTTTCCTCTGTGCTTGTCAGTTTCCCAGTCTGCTCTTAAAAGGGCATCAGTCCTATATGGGTTAGGGTTCACTTGAATGACCTCATACTAATTTAATTACCTCTTTAAAGAGTCTGTCTCCAAATATTCTCAACATCCTGAGGTACTAAGGGTTAGGACTTCACCATATGAATTGGGTGGGGGGTGGGGCACAAAAAGGTAAGAAAGTATGAGCCCCAGAAGTTGTTGTCTTTGTGTTTGTCCCTTGCTCACAGGAAGGCTGTCGTTTCATGCATCTGGTTGTCCTGATCGATGGTTTCCTAGGTTGCAAGCCTCCTGAGGCTGATGGAAGTAGGGGCTGGGGCGTGCGCATCAGCTGCCCTCCTGGGCTGGTCAGTGAATAAATACTAGATCATTCTCTAAAGCCTCCCTCACTCTAGGAAGGGACCTGCATGTGCTCAGTTTGAGACCAGACATGAGTACTGACTCTCCTCCCAATATCCTGTTGGTCATCACCTTTGTCCTTTCTCGCTGACCTCCTCCTCCTTTGGTTCTCTTGTGCTTTTTTTTGCTTCTGGCCCAAGGACTCCAGCTTCTCTCCATTCCATCCGCATTCTTCTTCCTGATTGATTTTCCTAAAATGTAGCTTTGCTCCCATTATCTGCTTCACCTCTTTATTTGACTTAGGATAGAGTCCCCTAGACTCCAGCGTGTTTCTAGCCCTGCAGTCCTCTGCTCCTTTCCCTTCTTAGACCATTCTAGTCTGGATTTGATGCACAGCAGAACCCATCTCAACCCTTTCTAGACTCATAGTATTGCCCCTCTCTAGGCTCTAATAACATACTTCCTTTTCCATAAAGACTCTCTGATTAACCCAGCCAAGAGCGGGCATTTACACTTGGCATTTACACTTCGCATTTCTGTCCAGCTCCCCATAACACGTGTCTGGGTCGGGGGCAGAACACAGGGCTGTTCAGAGCTGGCCATAGGTTTTAGGACCCACTCTGCCTCTTTAGCATCTGTGTGACCTGGGGAATTTGGTAATTCCCTAACCTTTGCACCCCCGTGCTCCTCTGTCAAGTGAGAATAATAATAATCTCACGGGGTTTTAATGCAAGTAGGTGAGAGTAATGTGTGAAGCTGGTGTTACTGTTAGGAGAGGTCGTGGTTGCTGTCTTTATAGACATTTAGCTAATAGTTTTGGTGGGTTGACATATTGATTATTTTAATTCACCTCCAGTTCTGCTGCAGGATGGAATTCTCTACTACTTTTTTTTTTTTTTTTTTAAATCTTCGTTATTGGGGCTCCCGCATGGCTTAGTAGGTTAAGCATCTGCCTTCGGCTCAGGGCATGATCCCAGGGTCTTGGGATTGAGCCCCACGACTGGCTCCCTGCGCAGTGGGGGAGTCTGCTTTTCTTTCTCTCCCTCTGCCCTTCCATCCTGTTCTTGCTCGCGCTGTTTCGGTCTCTCAAATAAATAAAAAAATCTTTAAAAAAAAATCTTTGTTATTATTGAATATGCAGAAGGAAAAAGGTATTTAATTCGCGAAGGTTTTTGAAGAGTCCATATTTAAAATGTTTTGTTTTGTTTTTAATATCCCTGGTCCCAGGGATCCTCAGCTGTGGCGCAGGCTGCTAATCCATCCAGGATGTACTGTGTGCTCAGTAATGAGTACCCCGCACCTGCTGCCCCCACAGTCTGCCCTTTCCCACCTCCCCTCGATGCAGATGTTAAAGGGGAGGCGGCTGGCTGGGCAAGGAGCCAGCTCCCGGCCTTCCTTGCTGCTGAAGTGCCCGTGCTAGACCAGTTACTCGGTATTTTGAATGTCATCCCAGTGCTAGTTTAGTTTTACATTCTTTTTCTGAGTAAGGAGTTCTGTTGGATGATGCGGGAAGCTCAGTTTGTCTGTCTCTCCCATCTCCCCCAGTAGCCACCCCTGGCAGGATGGATGCGGACCTGGCCTCCTCAGAGTCACTGGGACCAGGCAAGATGCAAGGGCTGAGCTGGCTTCTGTGGGACACTTGATGACAAGTGTGGCACCCCAGGAAGGCCTGGGTCCAGCTTTTAGCTGCTCTTCTCTCCTCAGGGGATGGGGCTGGCAATGCCAGCTTCAGTCTCAGCAATCTATGGGACAGCAAAAACACTGGGCAGTTTGTCACTTCTGGTTCTTCCTGCCAACCCATTTCTGTTCAGTTTTGCTTGAAGGGAGGGGAGTCCTGGCGCCACCCATACATGTTTGGTTCTTAATTCTTGCTCAACCCCCTGTCCAATAAAGTCTCATACAGAGATCTGGCTGGACTGGATAGACCAGTGTCAAGATGCACCAGGAGAAAGGGAACAGCATTTTCTGTGTGTTGGTGGTGTATTGGGAAAAGGGAAAGCAGCAGGACCCCAGTCTGTCGTGTCATGTTTTCTGGGCTTCACTAGGTTTATCACACTCTGTGGAGAGGCAGGAACCCTAGAATGGGACTGCAAAAGCTGAAGCAGGAGCCCAGCCCTGCCACTCACTCACTGTGTGGTTTGTGGCAAGTTCTTCAACACCCCTCTGAGCCTGGTTATGAAATGGAGATGATACCCGTTTTTCAGCCCTGCTCTAATTAATGGGTCATCATGAGGATTAAACAAGGTTAAGCATGCTTTGCAAGTGTAAGAGGTTGCTGTTGGTTCTGTTGTACTGCATCACGTAGGGATGGGAGTAGCAGCAAACCACAGATGCTTTCCATGGCCACCACCTTTTAACCTGGTCTTGATACTGTGATGACCAGTAATGGCTATACATGACCCTCCCATAAGAAAGCATAGGTGCTGGTGAAGATTCCAGACTCTAACTGTCGTGGTTCAAGTCTAGTGTCTACCATATAACTGCTCTATGGCCTTGGATAAGCTTCTCATCTACATAAGAGTAACACCCACCTCATGGGGTTGCTGGTGAGGATTAAATGTGTTAATATTTGTACATGTCCAGGCTAGTGCCTGGCACTTTGTAGTCCTATAAAGTGGTAAATAAAAACATCCACAGAAAATTTGATTTGTAAAAATATTTTTATCAGTTCTTGGGGTTCCAGGTTGACACATCTGAAAAGTTTCATAAGGATGTTATAGTCTCTAAAATTTTTCATAAAATATATTTTTTCATAAGCCAACCAAACAAATGCCTTGGGAATTACATGTCACCAAGAATATATGAAACAGGAATGAGAATATATATTACCAAGTTTGTACTCATCGCTCTAACATTCCAGTGGCCAACAATTTGCTTGTCCTGATACCTTGTGGTTCTTCAAGGAGAGGGGAAAAGAGGAATGTGGTTGAAGACCAAAGAACAATCTAGAAATAAAGTGCTTGCTTGATTGTGTCACTGTTTTCCCATTTCTGCTCCGTGAATATAATGCCAGGAATTTAAAAGTAGACCCTCATCAAATCATTTACATTAAGTGCCCTACAGGCGGTTTCTTAATGGAAAGTATGAATATTGTAGGTAAAATCTATTTAAGTTCTAAAATCATGATAATGACCTTATTGTCTATACAGCTAGTAACAGTGTGAAGAATTTGGTGGCTAGTTTAGGAAAAACTGCCCCTGGTTCCTTTGGAAGAAGCTGTTTTATGGGCAGTAGCACTGTCCGTCTGGGAGCTATTGATTAAAAAGAAAATAAACTGTCCACTCTCCTTTCTTAGGGTTGAAAAATAGTGAGAACTTTTTCTCCCCTGACTGAAATCGACAGCCGTTGTCCTCCCCTCAGCTGAAAAAAAAAGTCTCACCTAATAGGTGGCTTGTGGCAGGCACCAGTGTTTGAACAACAGCCATTATTTTAAAAACCAAAGCAGTACTGAGAAGTATCGAAATGACGGTGCCGAGTGACATTTTCCAAATGATGCGTTTTACCAAACTGTAAAGGACGAGAATTACTTAAAAGACAATAAGAATTGTAACTGTTCTGAGTTTTTTATTGCCTCTAAATTTATTTTATTTTTTATTGCCATTTGAAAAATTGAGGTAAAAATTCACATAACATAAAATTCACCGTTTTGAAGGGAACAGTTCAGTGTCATATAGTAAATTTACGGTGTTGTACAACCCCCACCTCTATCCAGTTCCAAAACATTTTCATCTTCCTGAAAGAAAACCCTATGCCCATTAAGCACTTACGGTCCATTGTTCTGGGTTTTTTGTTTTTGTTTTTTGTTTTGTTTTAATGAGAAGGACCCATCACAGGGGTTTTTTTGTGTGTGTGTGCTTTTTTGAACCTGTTTGTTCGGTTCCTTTTCAGAACACACCTTTTTTAGTTCAAGGGTGAATGAACTCACTACGTGTTGAAATTTAGGCAAACTTGACTTGTGGTTTTTAAAAGGAGGCCAACACCATAAGTAGATCTTTTAACTTCCGTGAAAGCTCCTTGCTAGACATAAGTGGCAAGGTTAGGTCTTGGAGAGGGACAGGGTAAGATGCGCTTTGGATGACTCCAAGACCAGAAAGATCTCTTCAAGACGTTGTACTCTTTCGAAACTCTGGGAAACTCAGAGTCCCTCCAGAAAAATGCCAAGCTTACACATGTATTCTGTTTTCCTTACTTCTTTACATTGTCCTCATTCTCCCCTCCTAACCCGTATTGTCATCTCAAGGAGACACAGTCAAAGGGTATTGAAATTGCCAGCGAAGGTGGTCCCTCCTATTACAGGGATGGCCACTGGGTCCAGCTGGGGCGGTGGGTGGGCAGTGTGAACCCTTTATGGCCTCACTGGGAGTGATCCAGTTTGCAGCAGGGAAATATTAAAAAAAAGTAGTACGTTTCCCTAGTCACTTTCTATATCTATCATACATTGGTAGTCTGTTGATCATAGATCATCAGAACATGATAGAAAAGGATTAGGGGGCTTTACTTTTTTTGCCCTAACTGTCTATTTCTTTTCTTTCTTTCTTTCTTTTTTTTTTTTTAAGATTTTATTTATTTAGTTGACAGAGATCACAAGCAGGCAGAGAGGCAGGAAGAGAGAGAGGAGGAAGCAGGCTCCCCGCTGAGCAGAGAGCCCGATGCGGGGCTCTATCCCAGGACCCTGAGATCACGACCTGAGCTGAAGGCAGAGGCTCAACCCACTGAGCCATCCAGGCGCCCCTCTTTTTTTTTTTTTTTTTAAGATTTTATTTATTTATTTGACAGATCACAAGTAGGCAGAGAGGCAGGCAGAGAGAGAGGAAGGGAAGCAGGCTCCCCGCTGAGCAGAGAGCCCGATGTGGGGCTCGATCCCAGGACCCTGGGATCATGACCTGGGCTGAAGGCAGAGGCTTTAACCCACTGAGCCACCCAGGTGCCCCATGTCTATTTCTAGTAATCTTAAAAATCTATGTCATTGAGTCAGCATAGGCTCAATTAATTTTGCATAGCTTGTGCTATATGTTAAGTCTGGATTCAGTAAATGCAACAAATACTTCAGGAGTGTTGTTTTAGTTCCTTTTAAAGGAACTAGGCAGGGCGCCTGGGTGGTTCAGTGGGTTAGGCATCTGCCTTCGGCCCAGGTCATGATCTCAAGGGTCATGGGATTGAGTCCCACATCAGGCTCCCTACTCATCAGGGAGTCTGCTTCTCTTTCTGTCTCTGTTCCTCCCACTGCCCATTTTCTCTCTCTCTCAAATAAATAAATAAAATCTTTAAAAAAATAAAGGAACTCAGCAATTTTTTAGTATCATTAATTACCATTTGGTAATTTTTATATTTGAATGCATAATGTGCCTGAGTATTTATGTGTGTGGTTGGTTTCAGCATGGTGTAGCTGATATAGTCTTCATTTATATTCAGGAGGAGATAGTTATAATAATACAGATCAGCTTAGAAACTAAATAAATTAGTAGCTCAGAGTCATATTTGCCACCGTGGTCTGTAACAAAGAGGAGATAAACAAATGGAAAAATCAGTCGTTGAAATTATTTGTTTGAGTTTTATTTGTATGGAACAATAACTATAATCAGAACTATCAAAGCCTGTTTAAAAAATATTTTTCCAACCCAAATTATGAAAGTAACACATGCTCATGATAGAAAATTTGGAAAAATTTTTCTACATATTTCATATTTCATACATAATTGTGATCTTATCCTACATCAAATTCTGTGCTCCACATTCTTCATTCAACATGACAACGTGACTATTTACCAGTATCTGAAACTTGATCCTAATAGGCAAGGTCCTATGTACTTACAGAGTCATGCTGGTAAGCGTTAATGTCGTGATAGAAAAAAGATGCTTATTAAAAGCACGTGGCTGTGTTCAGGGCATTTGCAGGACAAGCTGGAGTGCATGTCGTCTGTATGGTCAGCTAAGCCCTGAGAGCTGCTTACGGTCTGGACCGACCAAGTTACTGCTTCCTGTTTTCCCCACTCTTTAGCCTTATTAATGGTTGAATTACATATTAACTATTCTTATATAGGAAATGTTCATTCTCTCTGAGCGTGAAAAGGTAGGATAGTTGTTTTCTCAAAATAAGCAGGTAGCAGATGTTGATCTGGAAGTGTATTTAAGGGGCGCCTGGGTGGCTCAGAGGGTTAAAGCCTTTGCCTTCAGCTCAGGTCATGATCCCAGGGTCCTGGGATCGAGCCCCACATCGTCCTGGGATTGAGCCCCGTATCGTCCTGGGATCGAGCCCCGTATCGTCCTGGGATCGAGCCCCGTATTGAGCCCCCTATCAGGCTCTCTGCTCAGCGGGGAGCCTGTCCCCCCACCTCTCTGCCTGCTTGTGATCTGTCAAATAAATAAATAAAATCTTAAAAAAAAAAAGAAAGTCTATTTAAAGATTGAACCTAATCTCTTAGACAAGAGCCAAGCTCCTGACTATTTTGCCTGGTTTTAAATTCTAGACATTTATCCTCTTATGAAAAAATGTGTATCACCTTTTAGACTTTTTATGAGAAAAGTTTTATTAATATTTTATTTTGATAGAAAATGCCTTGCTTTCATTGTGAAAGAATATAAGATGTGTGCGTAGGGGGAATCTTATATGTCATGTATGCAATTCTTTGAAGTTCATCAGAGGAAAAATTCAGCTTTCTATACATATGTTAGTTTGTCAGTGATGTTTCGTTAAGTGGTCTGTGTGCAGATTTAAGAATCTAAAACCACATTGTCTGTAAGGTACTTTAGTATTTGAAACTCATGTAATTATTAGCATTGTCATTATATTCTAATTCGTGAAAAATCACATGAAGTCAAACTGTGTATATATTTTTTTCTTTCAGCCAGATGAGTTGTACTTTGAGGAAGGTGATATTATCTACATTACTGACATGGTAAGCCCAGCTAATATTTTGTAATAACTACATATGAACTAAAGATACATAAGACTATTTTGTGTAGCTGTAATATTGTACAGTATTTAACTGTTTATTTGTATAGAAATATGTATGCCCGGGTTTGTTCATTTTAGCACAATTTGTAATAATAGCATAAAATTAGAGGTAGCCCTTATGTCTACCTGTAGGAAGATAGTTGAATAAGCTTTGGAATATCCACAAACAGAGTTTCATGCATTTATAAAAAAGAATGAGCAGTATCTCCAAATGCTATTATGGAGTAATTTAAGTGAAAAAAGTCAAGCTAAAAAAAAAAAAGGGGTGAACAATATGCCTTATTTACCTAAGAGAGGTGATATGTATAACTGTTTTCTTCAGTTTAAAACAAAAGGTCAAAGGAGGAATCATCGAGTAAAATTTAAAACAAATAGTTTCTTCTATGTGAGGGAAGGCAAATAGGGTAGAGGAAACATGGAATATAGCCTTTTTAAAAAAATCACGCCTTGTTTTGGAGATCTGACTTTGGAGTCATATAAACTTTTGCATAGTTATGAAATGAAGTGGTAAAAAAGCAGTCCTTGAAATTTAAAAGCAGAATGAATCAAATGAAGTTAGTTATACCCTGGGGAATTGGCATAACCACACAGAAAGGAACTGTTCCAAGTGAACTTAAAACCCAGCAGTTCCAGGGAACATCTCCAGTAGGATGAACATGAAGGACAAAAAGGTCTGGCAGGTTTCAGTCACGGTCCTGTAGCAGAAGCATTGGCGTTTCTGTGCTGAGATTGCTGCATTGTATTGTGGTTGAGAGCAAATGAGTCATTAGGTCAGTGATACTGATGCGGGGATTTTCAGCCGGCAGGAAAAGGTACACAGATGTAAGATCAAGGAGGTTAAATGAAAACCCCGTAGCTCTGCATCTGTATGGCAAGTACGTTGTACTTCATCTACAATAAAATAAAAATAGGTCCTGCTCTGTCCTTTATAAAGGCCTAGGGGGAAAAAAAAAAAAAGACCAGTCTAATAATAATATGTTATTTTGCCTTCAAAGGAACAAGGCTCTGTTGAGAAATACCTGTGACCAGGTTGGGGGCAGCCGAGGTACAAGATAATCTGAAAACACTTGTTATTAGAACGCAGGGAAGCTGGGGTGCCTGGGTGGCTCAGTTGGTTAAGTGGCTGCCTTTGGCTCGGGTCATGATCCCGGGGTCCTGGGATCGAGCCCCACATTGGGCTCCCTGCTCAGTGGGATTCTTCTCCCTCTCTCTCTGCCTGCTGCTCTGCCTACTTGTGCGTGTGCTCTCTCTCTGGTCAAATAAATAAAATCTTAAAAATATAAAATTCAATTAAATTAAAAACAGAAAGTAGGAAAGCCTCCAAAACAAGGGTCACAGTAGAAGGACAGGAATGAAGTCGAAGAGGCTGCCACTAGTCAAAGATAGGACAATTCGAGCAGTTAAATAGGGCAGCAATCCCCTAGAATTGAAGCACATTTACGGTGTTTAAATCCATGAGCTGTCAATGATACTTCCAAAAACCCAAGCATCCTTCTTCACCCTGAGCAGATGCTAGGGAACCGATGTTTTATTCCATTCAGTTAGGGAAAATCATGAGCATTGATTCTGCCTTTTCTCTATGAACTTCATCTCTGGGTAACCTGAGACTTGATGAGGGAAAATTGTTCTTTAAAGAGATACTCTGATTGTTTAAGTGGGAAAGGAGTGATAGAATGTTACCATTTTGTAGCTCCCAGGAAATTATGGACCCAGCTGGTGCTCTTCAGTGGCTAACTAACCTTACAAAAAGAGAGACCACAAGACATTATGTATCTCTTGATGGAAGAAATCGATACTACCTATAAAATAGTCTTTCCCAGAAAACTGAATCTGAATCTAATTAAGCCTCTAGAGCTAACAACCAATTTATAGGCAATAGGGGGAACAAAGGAACACATTTTTGGTAAGACAGAGAGGGAACAGGCAAAATCTAGACTGTTTGAAACTCAGTGGACCAAATAAACTGGTTCCTTCAACAAGTGTATAATCAAGGAATGAAAAAAAAAAAAAAAAAAGAAGAAGAAGAAACCTATATACTAAAAGGGACCAAAGAGACAAATCAATCCATCATGTTGTATGGCCCTTACTTGAATTCTAAATTGTGGGACAACTGGAAGAGTTGAATATTGATCTAGAAATTTGATGATATTAAGGAATTATTGAAATAAATTTTAAGCGATGATAATGGTTTTATATCTTTGGAAAAAAATCATCTTTCAGAAATACGTACTGAAATATGTACAGGTGAGCTAATACAATGGCTGCCGTTTATTTCAAAATAATCCAAAGGGGAGGGAGGTTGTGGGTTCAATAAAGGAAACAGTTGGCCCATGAGTGAATAATTTATGCAGGTGGGAGCTGAGTTTATGTAGGTCCATTATCCTGTTCTTCCTACCTTGTATAGGTCTGAATTTTTCTAAAATAAAGTTTCCCTCCAAATGAAACTAAAATAAAGAGATGTTTAGAAAAAAAAAAATCTTCCAGCTACAAGAAATTAGACTCTGGACAAAAAAATTCTGTGGGTAGTTTAGCTGTAATTGTTTTCTTCCCTTTCCCATGATCTCTGATGTGTGTGGTTGTTGAGGGTCTGTGATGAAGTGTATTGTGTGTGTCGCAGGCCGATGGGGGTACATTGTACTTTAATGAGAGCGGGAACAGGCATCCGTAACTAGGGGGTAAGGAAACTTGAAGTGACCGGGGCCGATGGACATTCTGTAGGGCAGGGCAGACCATGAGCCAGATGGGTTTTTTGGTTTTTTTTTTTGTTTGTTTGTTTGGTTTTTGTTTGTTTGTTTTAAAGATTTTATTTACTTATTTATTAGAGAGAGAATGAGCCGGGGGGTGGTGCAGAGAGGGAGAGGGAAAAGCAGGCTTCCTGCTGAACAAGAAGCCTGATATGGGGCTTGATCCCAGGACCCTGGGATCATGGCCGGAGCCGGAGGCAGATGCTTAACGCCCTGAGCCAGATGGTTTTAAAAGTGACTGAATATAAATTTAGTGCCACTTAATCTAACTCTTCTTTCACTAGAGTGATACCAATTGGTGGAAAGGCACGTCCAAAGGCAGGACTGGACTCATCCCAAGCAACTATGGTAAGCTTGGCTGGGTTGATAATTACTTTGTTTCTACTCTGTGGACTTTCAGTGTTGCAGTTCCTAAGGCCTTTCTGCTTGCTGCCCTAGCCGAGAAATCAATGGAGTCATTGCCAGGATAGGACATTTTGTACTCCATGAAGCTCTCCTTAATAAAAGGGGGAATGGACACTGGAGGCACTTGAACTTGACTCTTTGGCTTAAGAAAATGCATTGTCGCACTCTCAGTAGAACCCCAGGTTTCCAAGGAAGTGCTTATGGCTTTCCTTTATCTAGTTCTTAGCATGTTGTTTTTTGTTTTTTTGTTTTCTTCTTTTTTTCTTTTTTTCCCTTTTCCTTTGCTGTTAAACCAAATCTCAGGTGGTTTCTTAGCCTAGCCCTTTCTCTGGTGACGGAGTGACCTTGCCTTGTTCATTCATGTCTGAGGCGGTTGTGTTCACTAGGTGGGTGTCCAGGCAGTGTGAGGAGCTTGGGGAGTGAGAGGCGGCCTCTGCCTTGAAGCCACTATCAGTTGGAAGAGGGGCAAACAAAGTACTTCTGCAGAAAATGGCAAAGTAGAGTAAAAAGAGCACGGAATGGATAAACAGGGTTTTAATCCTTTTTCTTCCACTTCTTAATAACAAGGGGCTTTAGCCAAGGCCCTTCTCCGCTGTCCCTGGGACTGTTTCCCCACCGTGTCATGAAAGGTTTGATTTCAGTCACTTCCAAGATTCCTTTTGACTTCAGCATGGGATGAGTCTCGAGACCAGTGGAGCTGGCGTGAGGCCCAGTTCCAAGCACTGGCACAGGACTTAGAAAATTTCAAGGAAGAGACTGTTGCAAAGTTTGTGGGGAGCGAAGAGGGTGAGGGGAAGGGAGAGGTAGGGAGGGCCCCACTGAGGGTCCCTGCTTGCCCTGGTCTAAAGGTGATACCATTCTGGGTTAAAAAAAGACTTGGAATATTTCTACTCTCCTCCAACCTTTGCACTCCATTTCCAGCGAGTCACAGACAGTGAGCATGTAAAATGCTCCCCCCTGTTGCTTTGCACCTCCAGTAGCCAAGGCCATGTCCTGTTTTAGCTCTTTATGGCGGGAGGGTGCGGGTCTGACGTCTGTTTTGGACCGCAGTCTGCATGTGCTCACTCCTGCTGATGGTGGGACAGGAGAGAATTCTACACCTTCCTCAGAGGCAGGTAGGGATGCTGCTCGCCCTTTGTAAATACGGGAGGTGAACTCTTTCCCCCTCATGCGTGCCCCCCACATGCACACACACAAGGGAAACAGTTATTTTCAGCCGTCTTTGAAGTCGGGTGTTTTTACGGAATGTACAAATGAACATCGAATGGTTTCCTTCGCATTTCTGTGACTCAGTTTAGGACAGACTTGGGTGTGCTGGTATGCAGGCTGTGATCTGTTTGTTTTTGCTTATCCTTGCAGTTCATTACCGAGTGTGGCTTTGTTTATACACCAGCTCCTTGCCATGGTGTTACCTTACTGCTCAGTTTGGTTTCCTTTGCAAATAATTCAGCTTCTTTTAAAGCAGGTGGCATCCGTTTGATTTTCTGCTGGGTTTTTTTTTTTTTTAAATCCGCACCCAAAGGGCTGCCATGTGGTGAAAGGCCCTGGCACTCCGGGAGCCGGTGGGCTGCGAAGTGGCTTTAGTGAGTCATGAGTCATCGGGGTGGCACTCTCAATGTCGCCTTTGCTCTTTCTGTTTTCAATCTAGTGGCTGAGCAAGCAGAATCCATTGACAATCCATTGCACGAAGCTGCAAAAAGAGGTAGGTGTGACTGTTTTTGATTGAGATACACAGTGGAGCAAAACACAGATTTTAATTATATCGTCTGATGACTTCTGACTGGTTTATACACCCATGTCGCCAACACCCAGAGCAAGATCTAGAGCACTTGTGTCATCCTAAAATGTTCCCATTCCAGTTAAACCCCCATGTCCTCCAGAGGCGATCTCTGTTCTGCCTTCTAGCACTCTCGAGAGAGAAAATGTGATTAATTTTTTTTTTTTAATTTCCTTAAGTAAGCCCTACACCCCAGTGTGGGGCTCGAACTCACAACCCCGAGATCAAGCATTGCATTCTCTACCAACTGAGCTGGCGGGGTGCCCCTGTGATTTTAATTTTTAAAATGTCAGCTGCCAAACACTTTTGAGTCCTTTATTTAGTCTGTGCTCAGTGGCAGGTGGAAAGGCATTGCCTGTGACTCCCGGAGCCCAGAGTCCGGCCGGGGTGCCATGTGTGTAACAGATCATTACAAGATGATGTCAGAAGAAAAGCAGTTGAAGTATGTTTAAGTTAAGCAGGTTATAGAGGCCACAGTGAGTAACTGGAGGGCAGGAGGGTGGAGACTTATTGTGGGCGTTAGCATTTAGGAGAGTGTTGTTGTAGTGCCTGTGTGTGGGATGAAGTTGAGGTTGGGGAGGGAGGGAGCAACAGGGATGGGCCTTGGTCCCATACATCTGTGGTTTCCTCCTCCAACCCTGAGATATTCAGCAATGCCTGGAGACATTTTGACTGTAGACTTGGGGATGCTCCTGGCACCTTTTGGGTAGTAGATGCTAGGGACATTGCTGAACTTGCTATGGGGCACTGATTAGCCTCACAGCAAGGAATTCTGCAGCCCCGCCAATGATAGGGCTGCTGTTGAGAAACCCTGCCATAGACAAGGGGAGTTGTTAATAAGTCCTCAGGGCGCTCTCTTCCATTCTATTCCAGATCTTTCTGATTTTTTTAAATGATTTTATTTATTTATTTGAGTGAGAGAGAGAGAGAGAGAGAGCATTAGAGGGGAGAAGGTCAGAGGGAGAAGCAGACTCCCTATGGAGCTGGGAGTCCGATGTGGGACTTGATCCCAGGACTCTGGGATCATGACCTGAGCCGAAGGCGGTTGCTTAACCAACTGAGTCACCAGGTACCCCAGATCTTTTTTGAAATGTGAATGTACAAAAGGAAATCATTGGTTTAGAATGGTGCATATGTTATAGAACTGCAAAAATGACATTTAAAAAATCATTAGTACCTGAAACAAATATTACACTCTTTGTTAAATAACTGGAATTTAAATAAGCCCATAGAGACCCCGGGGAGCTCTCCTGCCTTTTCTGTCCAAGGGGTAGAAAGACAGTGTCCGTGAACCAGGAAGCAGGCTCTTACCGGACACTGAATCTGCCGGCACCTTGATTCCGGGCGTCTCAGAACAGTGACAAATAATTTGTGCTGTTTAAGCCCTTCTGACCCTCCCCCTACCCCACCCCCAAGTCACTGTCAATGCTTTTCATTAATAAACTGGAAGCGAAAATGTACCATAATGAATGCATTGTGGGTTGGGTCTTAATTTCAGACTTGCTGACGAATCCATTGTAGATGGGAATTGGTGGAGGATGAAATTGATTTTGAAGCAAAGCAAAGCAAAACAAAACAAAACAAAACAAAAACCTTTTTCTCATGTTTTTATCAATGTGAAATTTTTTCAGGCAACTTGAGCTGGTTGAGAGAGTGTTTGGACAACAGAGTTGGCGTTAATGGCTTAGACAAGGCTGGAAGCACCGCCCTCTACTGGGCATGCCACGGGGGCCATAAAGGTACTAGCTTGTGTGTGCTGTCCTCACCGTCCACACTACCAAAACCGTGCACCATAGAGAGGAGACGGATTTCCAGAAACGAAAAAACAATCGATTCTTTTCAAGTCCTTTAGAACTTCGGCCAAAAAGCCTTGTTCCTGGAAGGTCTGGGAAGCCGTAGGTAGAATGCTCACTGCATGGACCTCCCTCACTGGAAAGCCTGGAAACTTCCTTTCCTCTCCCGGGCTTGGAAAGGTTACAGGAAAACAATAGTCATGTAAAAACAAACCCCAAGATCTGATCTTACAGAAGAAAGGGGCAACAGGGACTCCTCTGGCTCAGTTTCTCCCAAGATACGCTTTCTTGATTTACATTTTAAGTTGAATGCAGGCTGTTAGATGTAGGGGAAGGACGGCATTTGCTTAAGTTAGTGATCAAGTTGGTAACCTTCTCAGTTACAATCGGTAATATGACAAGTGGAATTTCTACATCTGTTTCATCCTGACCCACACCCATTTACCTCTCCCTACAACATACACACAAAACAAACACAACAACCAGAAACAAAGCATCCAGCAGATTAAATAGCAGAGCCAAAGGAGAAGTTTCTGGCTGTTTCCCAAAAGGAAGCCAATCTTATTTTAGCTAATAAACACAGAGTAGTTAAATGAATATTAAGTAGCACAGCAAATGTAGAGATATTTCTACAGTGGTTGCTGTGTCAAAATGCAGAAGCCAGATTATCTGAAAACAACTTTTCCCTAGATAATTCTCCTTTTTAAGTTCTTAAGTCCTGTACTTCCATACATTTAAACAATTTTGTTTTACAGATGTTCTTAAAGATTCTTCTAAAGAATCCTCTCTTTTAAAACTATTATGCCTAGCCTTATGAGACTTTTCCTTTTCATTCTTAAAAAATATCTCTCCTTTTTAATTTCAGATGTAGTGGAAGTGCTGTTTACTCAACCAAACGTTGAACTGAACCAACAGGTAAGATCGTTTACATGGAAGTCGGTGGTCATAACACACCTACCTTGTTCTCAGCTGCTTGTGGGTGGCTTATGGGCGTGCAAAGGCCTGTCTTGGTGCCTTGAACTGACCTCTTCTCATTTCATATCTTCCATACGCTTTTTTTTTTCTTTAAGATTTTTATTTATTTATTTGACAGAGAGAGACATAGCGAGAGAGAGAGAGCACAAGCAGGGGGAGTGGGAAATGGAGAGGGAGAAGCAGGCTTCCCGCTGAGCAGGGATCCCAATGCAGGGCTTGAATCCAGGACCCTGGGATCATGACCTGAGCCGAAGGCAGACAGTTAACAACAGAGCCACCCAGGCATCCTTCTTTCATACACTTTTTAATCAAAACACTATAAACACGTAGTTAAAAAATTACTATTGTCCTGAAGTCCAAATTGTTTAAGCCCAAAATGTGTACCATACTCCATCCTTCCCACTCACTCCTTCTGGCTGTTAGCACTTTCCTCTTGCCTTCATGTTACTAAGGAAGATGCCTATAGAGCTGTCCCCTAAGTCAATATCTTCATAATGTTCTGGTGTCCTGTCTGAAGGCTTCAGCTTCTCCCTGCCCCCACTCTGATCTGCCAGCTCCCAACCTTTGCTCCTCTGGTCATCTGCCAAGAATCCTATTAGAGTTTCTGGGATGTTACTATGTAGAGTAACATTGTAATGCTTACAAATATTATGGCTAAATATTGCTCACTGTTGGTGTCATTTCTGTTTCTGGCCTTTCTTTTATTTAGCTGCTTTTTAGTTTTTGTATTTCACTGGAGACTTCCACACTGTTTCATGTTCTCTTGACATGCTTTTCCAAAGTGTGTAAGATAACTGTTTTCTCCCTGCCCCCGGCCCCACCCGGTCCGGGAATGGTACTGGTACCTCCCGACGTCCTCGTCTTCATTCTCTGATCTGAGCAGCGTGGTCTCTGCTGCCCTTTGCTGTCTTCCTGCGAAACCTTTCCTTCACCTCCCTCCTGTGATATGCCTTCACCTGTCTGCATCCCGCGTCTGTCCTCCTATTGTTGAAGAACCTCTTCAAGCAGATTGCTAAGAAAGGGGTCCAAGGGATTGATTTGGCTGAGAGAATTCCAGGTTGAAAATGATTTCCCTTGGAATTTTGCAGGCAGGCCTCTAGGGTACTCAGTTTTTAGGATTGCTTTCGAGAGGTTTGATACCATTTTGATTCCCATTCTTCTGCATGTGGTCTGCTTTTTCTCTCACCCAGAATTGTCCCTCTGTCTGTGGTGGTCTGAAATTTTACCATGATGTGGGTCTTTTCCCAGTAACAGTGGTGGACTCTTTCAGCCTGGAAAAATATTGTCTGGTGTTTCTTTTCTAGTTTTTACTGATCATTGTCTTTGTTCTTTGGTTCTGGAATGCTTGTTTGTAACTTCTTAACATTGGGGCTCCAGTTATTTTAGTTTTTCTCAGAGATCTTCTTACCTTTGTGTTTTATCTCGGTTACCTCTTTAATTCCTTTCTGTCCTGTGTAAGTTTTCTGTTGCTGTGTAACAAAACACCACAGACTCAGCAGCTTAAAACGACACCCATTTGCCTTATACTTTCTGTAGATAGACCAGAATTCTGGGCGTGGCACAGCTGGGTTCTCTGCACAGGGTCTCAGGGGCCAGAATCAAGGGATTAGTTGGATTGGGTTCTCCTCTGGAGCTCAGTTCCTGTTCCAGGCTCACTCAGGTTTGCCAGGAGGATTGAGTTTCTTGCGCCCGTAGTGCTCTGGTCCTTAGCTTTCAGTTTCTTGCGCCTGAAGTGTCTGTGGCCTTCTCCACAGACGTTTCGCAACATGGCCGTTTGCTTTCTTCTTGAAGGCCAGTAGGAGATTGTGTCTCTGATGCTCCCCCTTTGGAAAAGGGCTCACCTGATTAGGCCAGGCCCACTCGGTATAATATCCCTTTTGATGAAGTCAGCATCAACCGATTAGAAACCTAATTAGGGGAGTGATATCCAATTGTATTCCTTAGTCTCACCCATACTCAAGGTGGAGGGATTCTTCAGAGGGTGGATCCCAGGAAGCAGGGACCTTAGGCACCGTCTTAGAATTCTGCCCACTAAAAGCTTTTTCTTTTACTCTGATTATTATTTTTAAGTAGCATTTTTTGTTTCATTATGCTCTTTCATGTTATATCTCAGATCTATGAATTAGAGCTTTTTAAAACATTTTCTGCCATTCACTGTACTTTGTCTTTTTCCCCTGAGTTCCATTAATTTTGGTTTGATCTTTTCTCAAATAATGGAGGCTTTGCTAGTACCTAGTATTTCCAAATACCTACTGTCTGAAGTGTGATAGATGCCTGCTCACGGGGCTTCTCTGTAGGGCGACGTAAGATCTTGGCTGTTCGCTGGGTGATACCCAAATGTCAGCATGAATACCCTCTTCCTCCTCTGCATGTGGGGCTGTTGAGCTCCACTGGAGAACTGTCCTGCAGCCTCCTGCCTGGGGGTAGATGCTAGACTGTGCACTCTGGGGCAGCTTACTGCTCAGCTTGTCGGTTTCAAGCTTAGCCACTGCTTTTAGGTCTGGCCTCATTGCCACCTTACCTTGTACCTCTAGGTCCCATGGGCTTGGAAATGATCTTGTTAATTTCTTGACAGGGTAAGTCTACCATCTGCACGGGGTCACCTGACAGCAAGGAGTGAGGAGGGTGAACTAATTACTTCCATAAACACTTTCACCCAGTCCTCTTGTTTTCACTCCCACGCCTCTTGCCTGCTCCAGCGTCTCCGGGCATCTCTAGTTGCTAATTCATGTAGGGTTTCTGCAGGGACAGATCTGCTTGCTTCCTCCTGGTGTCTCCTTCTGCGGGCACCTGCAGGTCGCCTGGTGTTCTGCCCAGTCGGTTTCTGCTCCTCCAGCCCATCCCCTCCCCCCACATGACTTTTCTGTCGTCTTGTGACTCTTCTTTCTCTCTCTGGAATTTTATATGATTTTGTGACTTGTTCTTGTTGTAGGTTTACTTAGGGTGAACCTGAATTCATGCACATTTTCTTTTCTTTTCTTTTTTTTTTTTAAAGATTTCATTTATTTATTTGACAGAGATCACAAGTAGGCAGAGAAGCAGGCGAAGAGAGGAGGAGGAAGCAGTCCTCCCGCCTAGCAGAGAGCCCAACACGGGGCTCGATCCCAGGACCCTGAGATCACGACCTGAGCCGAATGCAGAGGCTTTAACCCACTAAGACACCCAGGTGCCCCTCATGCACATTTTCAATCCACACTCTATTTTTAAAATGCTGCTTTCTCTCTTTCACTTCACTGTAGAACAAGTTGGGAGACACAGCCTTACACGCTGCTGCCTGGAAGGGTTATGCAGATATTGTCCAGCTGCTTCTGGAAAAAGGTAAAGGGTGTGCCCAGTTTATCCAGCCTTCACGTACCCTGGAAAAATAGGCTACATTCAGTTATGTTATTTGAGATAGTAGGAAGAATAGTAGGCTCTGTGTTTTGAAACTGGGATTTTAACTTTCACTCTGTTGTATCACAGGGTTGTTAACGATAAGATGAAATTACAATATTGAGGTGATTTGTGTGAAGCTTTTAGTATTAAATTGAAAGTTTGGTAAGCTTTAAGGTTACATATATTACTTTCAGGACTTGTTTATTGCATATTTCTGCAGGATTAAAGGGCCTTAGAAGAAAGGTGTGCGTGTGTGTGTGCCTGTGTGCGTGCGTGTGCAGAGAAGATTCTATCTCGGAAGACTGTGTGGGTAAAGTTGCTGAGGTCTCTGTTCACACAGGAAAGTCTTGATAGATAAGAAAGCAAGCTGGAGCTATAACGTCCAGCTTTGAGCTGAGCAAATGCTAGATGGACGAAGAATGAGAAGATACCTCGATTCCCTATTTCTCTACAAGTCAGAGGGGACAGTGAAATTATGGGGTGACCATCCGTCTGTCCATCCACTTGTCCCGCCCATATTCATTATAACAGTTTCAGAGGGCCAGGCATACCCCCCCCCGCCCCGCCCCTGTACCCTGGTCCAGAAGGCTATGTTGCTTGAATTCCAAGGTGTCCTATAGATGGCGCTGTCATTAGGGCTCCTCGGAGCAATGTTGTGGGATATATGAGGGAAAATGTTAACTGGTTTAAAGTGTGTTGATGATGTAAACCTCAGGTGTAAAAAAGATCCGCATGAGGACCACTATAGCGCCCCCTTAAGGTTATGCCTAGAGCTGCGCCCTCTGTGCCTCTGCCACTAAGCTGGGAAAATGAGCCTCATCTGAACTAAGATGAGTTGCATGTGTAAAATGCACGTCGAATGTCAAAGACTTGGTGAAAAAAAGATGTAAAGCATCAGAATCATTTTTATGTTGGTTCTATGATAGACCAGTCACCTTTTGGATATACCGGGTTAAAGAAAATGTATTACGAAAACGAATTCCTCTTTTTTGAAAATGTGGCCACTAGAAAACTTGAAATGACATATATGGCTCACATCACATTTCTGTTGGGTAGTGCGGGTGGAGAGGGACACAGGAAATGGTTATTTCTTCTCTTGTGATGCTGGCTCTGAACATTTCCTGTCCTGACAGAAATCATGTACATAAGTTCTAAAGTATAATTTAATGTAGGATACAATTAGCCACAGAACTCTTAACCCTCAGGATTTTTTTTTAACCTGTAGCACAACAAGAAAATGAGGTTTCTATACCCTTCGCTATGGGTAGATCAGAATCTGCTCATGAGGGAGATTTTTATACACAGTCGCCATATTCATAATTAAATAGGCCAAGCTTTCTTAACTCAACTATTTTTGTGCCTTTGAGTTTCATACATTTATTTTTTTGTTTATGGAAGAGGATGTGGTTACAAAGAGAACGGCGCTCTCCTATACTGTGGCAGAAAGTGCAGATTGGTAAAGCCTTCTTGGAAAGCAATCTGACAGTACCTTGCAGAATGAAAAATGTACATATCCTTAACATTCCAGCATCACTTCTAGAAAACCACACCTCAGAAAGATGTTCAAGGAGGTATACAGCAGTGCTGTTTGTAATAAAGGAGCAGCCTAAGTGCCCCTCAGTAAAGGGGGTGATTAAATAAATTTTGCAGTGTCCACAAAATTGAATACTTACAAATGTTTAAATAGATTGAGTTATAAGGATGTGTATTAATAAGGAATAGCATGAAGGAATACCACTATGTATTGTTAGGTTAAAAAATCAATTTACAGGCCAATATATGTGCTATGAATTTGTGTATATATACATAGATGTCTGAATGCATTCACACACCTAAGGGAGATGAGGGTTGATGCCCACTTGCTGGGAATGGTTTCCTGTGGACAAGCTAGAAGAAGGGGAAGGGATGGGTGAGTTGGAGGATGAAGTGGGACGTCTGCTTCTATTCAGCATACTTCTATATTTTTAAATCTCTAACAACGAAAATGTACTCTTGAGTTCTGATTTAACTTTTACCATCGTGAAGATGAGGAAAAAAAGCAAGTAGAAGCTGGGCTGTGGGAACAATGGATTGCCTCTAGGTTTTTTTGTGTGACTTTTCTAATTTGCACAGGAGTCCACTTACAGATATAAAATATTAATCCCCTCAGGCACCAGCCATGTGTATTTTCTCAAGAAGCAACGGGTGTATTATACTGAGTCTCCAAAAACTAGTGCCAAGACACTGTGGAGTCTGACTGGCTCGGGATTCACCTTGGGGAGGGCCCCCTCCCCGCTGAAAACTCATACGCAGTATTCTAGGCACTTGAAAGGGTAATTTTAATGGTGCCTATTTATCAGGGGTACAGCAGCAGGGCCCTGGATTAAAGATGCCAAGTGGGCATTTACTGTTCTGAAAAAGCTGACTTTAGCACCAGAGGGGTTTTCTCATTCGTTTGGCCCCAGCTGATTAGTTCGAGTGGAAGGAAGATTGTCTGCTACTCTAGATTCTTCAGAAACACCTGATGTGCTTTTCTTGTGTTGCGGAAAAGGTGCAAGAACAGACTTAAGAAACAATGAGAAGAAGCTGGCCCTGGACATGGCTACGAATGCCGCCTGCGCGTCTCTCCTGAAAAAGAAACAGGGCACAGGTATTCAGCTTTCATCCTTTTTTTTTTTTTTTAAGATTTTATTTATTTATTTGACAGAGATCACAAGTAGGCATAGAGGCAGGCAGAGAGAGAGAGGAAGGGAAGCAGGCTCCCTGCTGAGCAGAGAGCCCGATGTGGGGCTCCATCCCTGGACCCTGGGATCACAATCCGAGCCTAAGGCAGAGGCTTGAACCCACTGAGCAACCCAGGCGTCCCTCAGCTTTCATTCTTTGTTCTCTTCTGGCACCATCATGACCAAAGGTTATCATCTTAGAATGGGCAAAAACCACTCTTCTCAGGAAACTCTTCATGTGGTTCTGAAGTTAGGTTTTATCTCCTGGGTCTAATTTGGAACGTTCGCCTTGGAATTTGGAACGTTCGCCTTAGAAGAAATCCCTTCATGCAAATAAGTTGAAGAGACATTGACCTTTTAGTTTTTTTTGTATGTTTCCTTTGTTCCTTACAGTTAGGTTGTAATCACCTTGCTTTCCCTTAGAGCCCTTATCAGAGAGCCCTGGTCTCCATATCCTTCTTTCAGAGAGGTTTTTACAAGTGGTTATCTCTAAATATATTTTTTTTCAATTAAGCACTAAAGAGCTCCATGGTTCTATTTGGGTTTTGTTTTAAGTGAGAGTATCAATAAACGATAATCAGAATATTCTAGACTTGGTAAGCAATTTGGTGTTTACTTACAGACTCTGGGTGGTTTTTAAAAGTAAAGTTTAGGTATACATCCTTAAAGATAAAAATATCTGTTGGTGTGGGAGAATAGGTTTGAAAGAAAAAAATGAAAGGTTTGTGTGGTTGTTTTGAAAAGGTGTCAAAGAAAAGGTGTTAAACGCATTTGCATCCTTCATGATTACTATTCAGAGACCTCTCAGCACATAACCTATTGGAGGAACCATTCCCCCTAAAAGAAATGCTGGGAGGATGTGCTTTAACTCTCCTTCGCATTCCCCTGTCCTGTCTCTCCCTTTCATCCACCATCAGCCTCCTGGCCCACGAGGAATTCAGAGGTAGAAAAAAGAAAAGTAGGAGATGATTTGGTTGGAGGGCACATTCAGTCTCCCCCCTCTGCTTCTCAAGCCTTCCTGTACTCTTATGTCTGGCTCTCTAACGCCACTTTGAAGGGGAAGCCAATGATTGATGCATCTTTCCCGCCATTTTCCAGAATGGATGCTAGTATAATGGAGAACTCACTTTTCACAAGTCTTCATTTCACATCGCTACTCACCATTCCAACCCTTCTCTGTGTTGCTTTGGAGTCGGAAGTTGAGACTGATGCATGCTGAATCACCAGAATCACCAGATAAGCTTCTGATGCATTTCCGGTAGAGAGGCTCAGTGCATATGTTTCCATTTTAAGCTGAGAGTCCTCTCGCTGTCAGAGTTCTGAGCTTGTGTAACGAGGTACTGATTTCTGTTTCATCACGTGAATCACACTCCCATTAATTTTTGAACTTTGGGAAAGCTTTTTTCTTCCTTAGCTAAGTACCCTTTGTTTTATGAGAAGAGGCAATGTTATCTTGTCTTATAGCCCAGTTCCAGCAGAAGCAACAAAATAAAGTCATCCTCTGGTTTCCTGCTTTAGTCAATCAAAAATCGCAAACAGAGCCTGTCTCTTCATGACTTACCAAGGGAGCCACCAGAATTATCCTCCTCGTCTTGTCTGTCCATCACCAAATTCCCATCACGGCCCTCCTCACGAATCTGCTGTTCCTTTGTTCTTTACTCCAGATAGGTCTTTGTTCCAGATTTTTATTTCTTTTAATTTTCAGTTCAGATACAGTGCAAACCTTTAAACCATTAAGAAACTTGGGTTCCTTAATTATTTAAGCCATGAATTCTCGCTGGCAGAGATAGTGTTTCTTTAAAGTAATTACTCATGCATAGATGAATTGAGGGTATGCTAAGTGAGTGAGAAAGTGTTTACTAGCTGAGTGGTGCTCCTTAGCAATCCTACATTTTGATTGAGAAGCCATATATGGAGCTATGAGGGAGAAATACTTTTACTTGGAGCCTGTCTCCACCTTCCTGCTGCCTTGGTTGGTTCTGAAGTTGGACTATGGCCTAACTTCCTTTTTCTGCCACTGACTTCCTGTTGCTATGTGGGTCCCTTCAGAATGTCCTGATCACGGAGTAAGACTTCTTATGAGCTGAAGGTTATCAGAGACTCATGTATACTATAAGCTTGATCATAATAGACAAGGAAAATGCCACACTAACATTAGACCCCAGAGAGCTCCACTTGGAGTACCCAGAAGCCTCCTCGTGGGCAACGGGAGCTGGGGGAGGCAGATGGCAAACTGCTCTCTTCCCCCTCACCTTTCTACAGTCTTTATAGAATGGGGCTGGGAGGAAAGTCTCTTTTTCTCCGTTCATGCCAAGTGTCTTTAGGCTGCTTTCCTAAATTTGTATTGATTAGATAATGGACTCATTAATGAGGTAATCTGGGGGCCTGGCACACAGAGGCAAGAAATGAATTTTCACATTTCAGTTTTCATGTTATCTTTTTCCTCTCTTTTTTCTTGCTTCATTTCATAATCATCCAGTAAAACGTTTGAATATGTATTGTGATCCTAGTTGGAATCAGAGTTGACTCTTGGGCCATATAGGTAATTATGAGCACAAACTCTGCACTGGAAAAAGTATATCCTGATGTTTTTTGCCCACTTTTAAGAGCACATCTTGGATTTTTTGTAGAGGAAAAAACAAGTCCCATTTTGTAGTTACCTTGGGTAACTTTGGGATATGAGTGTGGGACCAGGGTTCAACCCCTCCTTAAGGGTTCCACCCTATAAATTCTTTTTCCAGTTTTTACAAATTGGGGTATAATTTGTATTTTTTTGGGGGGGGTATAATTTGTATTAAGTAAGTATATAAATCCCAAATTTACATCTTGATGTGTATGTGTGTGTGTGAGTGTGAGTGTGTGTGTTTTCACTGTGCTCACACCTATTTGCCACAACCCGGATATCAGAGAATATTTTCCATACCCAAGAAGCCCCTTCCATATTCTCCCTTTCTCTCATCATTTGCCTGTGCTTGAACTTGATTTAAATGGAACCAAACAGTATGTACTTTTTTGTGTCTAACTTCTTTTCACTTAATACTCTGTCTATGAGATATATCTAGGTTACTGTGTCTTTCTTTCTACCATTTATTTATTGTTTGTTTGTTTGTTTGTTTGTCTTAAGTACTGGTGCTTGATTTGGAATGTGCAGATCCAGGTCATTGACACTGGGGAGAAATGGAAGTCACGTAGGGAAGAAGGGGATGTATCACTAGGAGATACATTATTATCATGGCCACGGCCCAGGATGGGTGGGCTGTGAAGAGATATAGCTCCTCAGCACTTGGCTGTGTGAGAAGTTTCCAGAGAAACTGTGCCTGAGTGCAATCCATAAGGGAAGGAAGGTGGAGGAGTTTATTTGCCTGGCTCCTTCCTGTCTCTTGATTTCCTGTCAGTAACGTTTGCACCATGGCGAGCCATCTTCTCTTGCTAACAGGAGAAACAAGGTTGAAATAAAATGCAGAAGTAACCATGGAAGGACAAAATATCTCAAGTGGCAAAACATAGGATTGTAGTAGTACAGTAGAGTAGGAAAGAGCTTTGCTATTGTCTTTTTGTCTGTAGCTCAAAAAGCTGCTTTTCCTAAGTTTACAGCCAGTCTGAAGTTCATGGATGTGTGTGGGATAGGACAAAGTATATTCTATGGTCTCCAGAACTTCTCATAAGGAGGATGGACATGAATACAGAAACCTGGAGACTTCTAGGAGTTTGAAAGCTGCTGTGAAATCTTTGAAGTTTGCCTCTGTTCTGCTTATATCCACTTGTTCTTTCATCTTTCCTTCTTGTAGATAAATCCAGTTCAACTTCCCTTGTTCCAACTCTCCCTTGTCCCTTCCTTTTTCCCAATAATTCTAAATTTATAAAGATAATGACTGAAAAAACTATAGTATCATCAGCATGCATAAAATTAATAATGCCTTCATATCATCAAATAAATCTTGTCATTGCCCAAATTTCCCCTTTTCCTCATACATGTTTGTTTATGCTTTATTTACCTATTTTTTAAAGATTTTTTTAAAAAAGATTTTATTCATTCATTTCACACAGAGAGAGAGAGATCACAAGTAGGCGGCAGGGGGCGGGGGGAAGCAGGCTCCCCATCAAGCAGAGAGCCTGATGTGGGGCTCAATCCCGGGATCCTGAGATCATGACCTGAGCCAAAGGCAGAGGCTTAATCCACAGAGCCACCCAGGCGCCCTTTATTTACCTATTTTTGTGTTTACTTATTTGTTTATAATTTAAGTCAGGGTCTGAATAAGGTCAGGCTCCGATTGGTAGATATGTCTCTTAAATCATTGCTTTCTCTTCCTCTCCACTTCCTCTCTTTTGCTAGCCTGGTGACTTACTTATTAAAGAAGCTGGTCACTTTTCCTGAAATTTCCAGTCTAGACGGCATACGTGCATATGTCCTCCCCATGGTGCTGTTTGTCATGTTCCTCTTTCCTCTGTATTTTTGTCATTTGGTGTAGATCTAGAGCTTTGATTAGATTTTCCACTTTATCCGTCTACCTAAGGGTTAGAGGGAAACATATTTCATGAAGACAGGTTGTTTCATCAGAGACACAGAATATCTGTCACTTGTCCTGTGACATTAACATTCATCGATAATCATTTTCTGGATCCACTGTTTCACGAACAGTTGCAAAGTGGTGATATTTGAATTCTGTCACTCCTGTCTCAGTTACTAGCTGGAACATTCTGTTAAAAAAAAAATTCCCTTCATCTATGACTTGATTACTCAGAGGTAATAGTTTGTGCAGTGGGGCAGAATAAAGGCTTGATTTTTATCCTTTGTTAATGAATTTTCAAAATAAGGTACTGGTTCCCTATTTTTCTCCAAAGAGGTCTGGTGTTCTCCTTGTTGTATGTCGAAATACATGCTGTGTTTCAATCCATTATATTTAGTCCTTATTTTTTTTTTTTAACATTTTATTTATTTATTTGACAGAGAGAGAGAGAGATCACAAGTAGGCAGAGCAGCAGGCGGGGTGAGGGGGGGAAGCAGGCTCCCCACTGAGGAGAGCCCAATGCAGGGCTTGATCCCAGGACCCTGAGATCATGACCTGAGCTGAAGGCAGAGGCTTAACCCACTGAGCCACCCAGGCGCCCCAGTATCCTTATTTTTTTAAAAAAATGTTTTGAAGATTTTATTTGCGAGAGCGCATGAGCACAAGCAGGGGGAGTTGCAGAGGAAGAGGGAGAAGCAGACTCCCCACTCAGCAGGGAGCCCGACGTAGGGCTCGATCCCAGGATCCCACAATCATGACCTGAGCTGAAGGCAGACTTCTGCCTTAACTGACCGAGCCCCCCAGGCGCCCCTAGTATCCCTATTGATAGTCCCTCTTTGGCTAGTTGAGGCCTCTTCGGGTTGGATCATGAGTCTTTTTAAAATGATGCTCTCTTTGATAGCATCCTTGCTTTATGCTGGGTTCCAGGTGAATCTTTTACATTTTCTGCCCCAGACTTGGGATCAGTGACATCTCCAGTGAGCATAGGGATTGAGTGTTTAGAAACCATGATCGCATACATTTATTGAACTCTAACAGCTCTTATACTTCATTTCCGTTTCCCCCTAAAATGAGACCTCATGGAGCCTGTTGCTTATAGGCATTTAACTAGACACTTGAATAGGTGAACAGTTAAAGATCAGATGCCTTCTTTTTGAACCCTGTCCAAGCCTGATTTAACATATGGTGGGGTACTGTTCTTTCAGTTTCACACTTCTATTTTGTTTCATTCTTTTGCTTCTGAGCCTACTTTATCCGTAGTTTTAAAAATGAAACTGAAGCTTCTGTGTTTTCATTCTCTTTCTTTTCCTTTTTTCCCCACGTTAGTTATCTTTCTACCCAGTGACCTTGCCCTCAGGTAAGGCCTCGCGGGCTCTCGACTGACCGAAGCCACGTGTGTGCACTTGTCTTTGGGAGAGGAGGTTGGAAGTACGCTGGTCAGAGTGGAGGGCCTTCCCGTGTGTTCCATGCTGGTCATGGTGCATGGGGCTGGTTGCATTTTGTGCAAGGTAGATTAATGGTGCATTAGCATCACATGCTTTATTTTTTGCATGTCTAAGGAACATGCAGACATCTGTAATTGTCAGCCTCTGTGGCAGCAAATCCTCAGCAGTTAGGCAAGAGAGCAAAAGTTGAAAAAGATCCTTGGGGGCAGTACAGTCCCAGGGTCTGAGGAAAGATTACAGTTTGTTGAGCTATCAGGAGCTTTGAAAGTTAAAACAAAATCTGAGCAATTTGTAATGTCTCTGTTTTTTTTTTTTAAAGATTTTATTTATTTATTTGACAGAGAGAGATCACAAGTAAACAGAGAGGCAGGCAGAGAGAGAGAGAGGGAAGCAGGCTCCCTGCTGAGCAGAGAGCCTGATGCGGGACTCGATCCCAGAACCCTGAGATCATGACCTGAGCGGAAGGCAGCGGCTTAACCCACTGAGCCACTGTAATGTCTCTGTTTTGCTCTGCCCTCCATTCCGTTTAGATGCTGTTCGAACATTAAGCAATGCCGAGGAATATCTTGATGATGAAGACTCCGATTAATTCCCTTCTGGAGATTCGAGAGCTAAAACATCTGTTGCTTTTGCCATTCCAAAACCTTTGTCTTTGCCAGAAGAGTGTTGGTAACTGTTTTTTGTCTTTTTTTTTTTTTTTAAGTCTATAAGAACATGGAAGTATGGCACTGCGTTTGCGTAGAACGTGTAAATGGGTAGGTTTTCACCTTCAGTTTGCCAATAAGTGACTGGATACTTTGCTGTATAAAGTACATTTTTGTTCACCAGAGTAGAACAAGAAGAGATTATTTCTATTTATCAAGTTTTAAAGGAATTAAAAAATTTTTTTTCTTTAAAAAGTCAGAATGGTTTTTGGTTTTGTTTTTTTGTTTTGTTTTGTTTCATTTTATTTTTGTTTTTTAAGTTCTTTACCTCAAGGATTGAAATATTTTGAATGGATTTTTCAAGGGAGAAATGCTTGTTATAATAATGAACCAAAAGACTTAACAGAAAATCGTCAGCTATTCTGACAAAAATAAACATTTAAGAGACTGTATTCCTTTTGTCTGTTTTTGTGGATCACTATTTGCTGGTAAATAAAGCTCTTTATATTTAGGTAAAGGCTGATTTTATTTTTTAAGTCCTATTTCATATTTATTAGCACAAAGGAATCAAAGTAGCCACATTTCTGTTCAACTTTATATATTTGCTTTAACCTGATTAAAGTCGAGACAATAATCATGGAGAAGATACATTTATAATGAAATACATAACTTCAGTAATTATTAGACTTCCAGTTTTATCTCCAAGGTTATACATAGTATAAAGAAATCCAGCAACTCATTACAGTTTGCTTGTGGTCTGAAAGATTAAAAAAATTGATTTCCTTATCATGGAAGATGTCATCATTTCCTGTAATGGAGTAGCCAGGAGCCATGAAATTTTTTTGTGGTAAGCTTTTCACTTTGATAGCATTTGTTTTTCCAGAGTGTGCCTCTAGCTCATAACAATTCAGATTCTTTTACTGAAATGTCAATTAATATTGCAGGGAGCCTTGTGTAATATTGAAGTGACCCTTGATTTGCGATCCGAGTTCTAATTTTGTCATCACTGTTGCCATTTGCCTAGATTCCAGGCTCTCGGCCCAGAACCCTATTTTGTAAGAAGACTTAAATGCTGATTTCAAAAAACACATTGGTGCGGAGAAGGAAATGTTTGAAGAAGGAAGTGGGTTAGCTCAGGAAATGAATAACTGTAAGAGTTTTCTGTCTGTGACTGGTTTTTTTTTTTCCCCTCTGTGGGTGCCTTGAGGAAGGGTATCCTGAGAAGCCTGTTTGAGGTTTCTCAAATACCCCATACCACAGAAAGAAATCTGTGTAAGTAGCGACAACAGAGATAGAAAACAAAATCTGAAATTGATATCCTCAAAATAAATATGTTTATGGAACTTGAGTTAAAGATTTGCATTCCTTCATAAGCACAAGCTTGAAGACAGGAAATCCTTGTTGAAATTGTGTCTGTTTGAACCATAGAACCTTTAAGGATTCATTCTTTATTTTTAAACTTTTTTTTAAAGGAAGAGAGCACGAGCCGGGGGCAGGAGTTGCAAAGGGAGAGAGAGAATCCCAAACAGGCTCCACGCTCAGCACTGAGTCCCACATGGGGCTCGATCATGTGACCCTGAGACCATGACCTGACTTGAAATCAAGAGTCGGATGCCCAACTGATTGAGCCACCCAGGCGCCTCTAAGGATTCATTCTTTAAAATGGGGTTTGTGTGGGGCTCCTGGCTGGCTCAGTTGGAAAAGTGTGACCCTTGATCTTGGGGTTTTAAGTCTGAGCCCCATGGTAGGTGTCAAGATTGCTTAAAAATAAAATCTTTAAAATGAAATGATAGATAAAATACTGGGCTTGTGCTTTAACAAAAAGCTTTTGGAAATCTCTGACTTTTTGTTCCTGCATACTTTGGGACTGGTGTGATTAGGATAGATGCCAACTAAACACTTTTAATTTTTTCACATGGGCAGAGATAATATAGTTTATGTGAATATAGATATTTTTTATGAAAATGCTGTGTGCTTGATGTGGGTATATTATTTATGTCTTTGAAGAAAAGAATAGTGAGTGGCTTCACTAACATTGCTTTTAACATTACTGAACTTAATGAAAATTCTAGAAAGTTGGCCAACCAGAATTTTTGGGGGGTGGCGGGTGGACTTAGGTATATGCATGAGTTGCTGGCGAAACAAAAAAAGGACAACACATTTCGCTGTGGTTGAAACTTCATGGGAAAATTTACTTTTGCTTCTTGTTTCTTCAGCCTTGCCAATCTGAGCTTTTTCAGAGATGTCGAATGCTGAACTCAGCAACAAAAATCAGTTCTAAGAACGTGTCACTCCTCTAATTCTGTGCAGAGGAGAGCTTTGATTATGTTCTGGAAATGACTTTGGAGGTTTTGCTGTAATCTGAGCTTTCTGACAGTCCCTGTGGCCTGAATGCCTTCCCAGTCCATTGTGTGCTTTAGATAGAAAATGGCTCCCAGCCCGTGGGGCCGTGAGATAGACCAGCTTTACACCCAATAGCCTCATGCAAAGAACGGTTTTTACCAGTTTCCCATTTTAGCTTCCTTTCTGGGACTGGTCTGTAGACATTACATTTGTCAATTTCTGTATTTCTCTGGTGAGCTCACTCCCCCCATTGTCTTGCTTTTTTCAACAGTGTGGCCATGCTGTTACCCAAAGGGAAATGTTGAACAAAGTGGTGGTGACCCTGTTTTTTTCTTAACTCTTAAAAACCAAATTGGAAATAATGCTGAAAATGAAATCTCAGATAATTTTAGGTAGAGGAAAATAAAAATTTTCTATATAAGCTTCTTTCATAAAGTTTGTTGTGTAATTTCTGATTTACTGGCATTTCTTCTTCTAGTGAGCCCTGTGCCTCTTACGTTTGTGAAGGATAATTTCTTCTCTGTTAGGCTGTATGGAGTCTAATGCTAACATCAGCATTTCCCTGTTGGCTTTGATTTTGTGCTTATTCTCCTGAATTTTATGTTGTAAATAGGTTGGTAGTGGTAATGCACAGACAACCATACAACAGACACCCGAACTGCAAAGTCTGTACTGAAAGTTGAGGTTTTGGGGGGAGAAGGATTGCAAAAGAGTCTATTCTCCCTATTTTAACCGAAAATACAGCTTCAGTGAAGTTTTCTCAAGTGAAGGAAAAATTGCAGACCACAAATTTATGGTTGCTTTCCCCTTATTTCTTAATAACAAGCCTTTACATCTGCCCGTCCCTTCAAATGACATAAAATTAAATAAAACTACCATTTATTAAATGCCTACCCTGCCAGTTCCAATGCCAGGCAGTTTCGTAGACATGATGTCATTTGATCTTTACAGCAACCCCGGGTGGGGAACATTAATGCCCCTGTCTTTTTACAGAAAAGCTGAGTTTTGAAGAAGTTAAGTAAGTAGCTCAAAGTCACACTGCAAAGTTGGAAGTGCAGGTCTGGTCAACTCCTGAGCTAGTGCACCTGCAGCCTACTGCATCTGGCAGGTGATACCTTTCACGTTTGGCCAGAAAAATAGGCAGAAACGAACCAGCTTCTTTCCTACTTGAGCCCTGGATCTAGCATCTAATAAATTCAGCATATCTACCAATTTACTTACATGTGTTATGTAAACCAACCCTAAGAGATTTTTTTCTTTCTTTTTTTAAATAAAGGATTTCTCCCTCCCCTCCCCACCCTACCTCGTCCTGGAAGATTTTGGCAGAACTTTTTAGTTCCCAGTAATCCTGAAGAAATACAATTTACTGAACAAGTTTCCCAATTTCCCTATCTGCGCAAAACTATAAATAAGTGCCAAAGAAGGAGAGCCTCAACCAGCAGCTGATCACCTTGCTCAGAGTTTGTACTGCTAACTTCAGCATTTCCCTCAGATAGTCTAAGAGCTCCTGACTTCTTTCCATGTAATCATGAAAAGAACTGTGTGCCTGGGAAAGGGTCAGGGAATATTGTCTTACCCAAGTCTGGGAGCTCGCATGGACGTGTCGGTTCCCTCCCACTTCACAGGGAGTTCTGCTGTTGTCTCCTGCCAGCGGCCATCTGCGCGGGGCTCCCATCACGCTCAGCCCTCCACCTACACTCCACTGTTGCCAGTGGGGGGCCGGGGTGAGGTCAGGTTCCTGGCTGTGGCTGAAAAAACTGAAGAAATCCAAAAGTATGAGTTTGAAAGCCCTAGTGGGAGGTGGAAGGAAGGTAGGAGAAGAGACAAGGAGGAAAGGGGGTGAGCAGCAAAGGAGAAATGGCACCCCCCTCTGAGTTACACATGGTTCTGATATGAAATCCTAAAGCTTCAAGAAGTGGCTAAGGGTATGGACTTTGGGGAGGAACTGTGGATTCGGGTCTGGCTCTGCTGCTCATTGCTGAGTGACCTTGGACAGATTACGTAAAACATCTAGATTCATAAGCTGTAACACAGGTAAGTAATAGTGTCTATTACTTATAGATACTGAAGTTAAGAAGATTAAATGTAGTGATCTCCATAAATGACTTAAGAGAGTGCTTGTCAGAGTGATCACCTTATAAACATTGGCTGTACCCGTAAGCCCAAAGGAGGACGTTTTCATTAAATAAATATGTGTGTATGAAGGTTGGTTCAAACATGTTTTTTCAAAAACATGGCCATCATTTTAATATTTCCTAAAATACATTAAAAATGAGTAGAGGACAGTGATATTTCCTTCCGCTCCTTTAGGTATGCATTTTTCAGTATAAATCTACTTATTGGGGCACCTGGGTGGCTCACTTGGGTAAGAGTCTGCCTTTGGCTCAGGTCATGATCCTAAGGTCCTGGGATCCAGCCCTGTGTTGGGTTCCCTGCTCCGTGGGGAGGGTGCTTCTCTCTCTCTCCCTCTGCTCCTCCCGCTGGCTGTGCTCCCTCTCTCTGTCAAATAAATAAAAACCGTAAAAAAATATATATATTAGAAAAATAAATTTACTGATTGATTGAGAGTTACAGGGAAGACGTATATAACTCAAAAAGACCTTATTATTCAAATATTTCAAGGTCAAGTGGGGAGAATGTTGGCCACCATTTCAGTTTTACATTGTTGCTCTGGAATAACCATTCCAGATGGGGGGCTTGAATGGGCTTCAACCATTCCAGATGGGGGGTTTGATGGGCTTGAAAGACCATGGATGGGTCTACTATTTGGTACATCATGATTTCAAATTGCCCTTACACGTCTTCCAACTACAAACAACCTATCTTTTGAATGGATCAGGTTCCTAACTTTATACATTTCCCTGACAAGGTCTAAGTTTCAAGACGTGGGTCTGCGGGTGTTAACGACACTGACAAGAATCTAAGACATGAGAAGTGAAGTGTCATACAGTCCTCCCTCACTGTGACCAAGAAGGCTACAGAGGAAGAATTCAATTGGCCATTTCATTTCCCATTTTAGAAGGGAAATTTGTGGGGCCCCATGAAAATGCTTTCTTCTAAGTGAAGACTAAGATGAGGACGTGAGGCCTGTTGGGACACAGGCTAGTGTGAAGGTCACTGACTGACTGACGAGAAGTAGCTTCAGAGAAGCCGACAGCTCTGAAGGGCTCTTCA